GAAATAGGGCATACTTTTCTACGTTATTCAGAAGACGTTATGTTAAACTTGTACACTTTTGTTATAACTGTGTACAATTATATATACTTTAAATTTGGCATTAATAAAACTTCACTAAGTTGAGCTAAAACGATGCATGTTGATTTGATATTTAACATTTCGTAATTAAAACGACTTTATCCTGTCATAAAACAAAACCTCAAAAAGTCTGAATGTGTGCAGATAAGTAGAAAAATGCATATTGTTGGTAAAATGTATTTTAATTTATAGAAGTTTGGATATGATAGGGAATAATAAGTGCGATCGAGAAAACTCACTCTTCCTACAGCACGTTTTTTTTAAAGTGCCGGAAGGAATCTCATTTTAAAAGCAGCATTCTGTCGGGGCTTATACATCAAAGGATAAAGCTGCGCGGCATGTAGTATTATAACAGCGCCACCGCGTTTTCTAACTGAGTTAACGATTTTGTTTGACATGTATTTGCTTTAACTCGTTGTGCCTTCTCATCTTGGCATCCCCGAATTTTCTATGTACGTATGAACTCTTATAAGTATGGGTTAGTTCGGGCATCCGATGCGCAAATATACTACAAAATTATCATCATGCAGGACCTTACCTGAAATGTTAGTGAAAAAGCAGGAATGTGTTACCTACCGGAATGTTCGCTTGCAGCCATTTTAGACCTTCTGTCGATATCGATTGACATGGCTGGTCTTCCGATCGGTGGTTAAAAAGGAAACACGACCTGCTACCATTGGCCTACGTGCCCCGGCGTAGACTGGACTTAAAATCCAAAAGGAATCAATAGAAATTACATATTATCTCATCTCCCAAGAGGAAAACCCAAATCCATAGGCCACAGATCCTAACATTCTTGAGTATACTTAATTTATTTTTTTCTAATTTTGTGCTAAAGCGTTATGCAGCCGAGGCAATTGATTAAAAGACAGACGGAAGGGAGATTGAGTAGTACCGACTGGCGAAAGTTTTATACTGGACTGTCGGCAAAGATGTAATATGCGAATCCACTGAACTACCGGTAAAAAGGTCATACTGTTATACGGGAGCCATAGGTTTTGACATATACTAAGGCTGCTCATGTAAGGGTGTAATGAGGGTGACTCAAATCAAGTCAACATATTCAAAGTTAATGACACAATGTCATTAGAAATGAAGAAAAAGCTGAGCAACCTTCCACAAGCCACCAAAGGTAGCCTAACAGAACTTAATTTAAATATTTCTGCTTTTCAGAAGTAATTAGTTATTTATATTCATCCGTTTGTACGCTTCACATAATACGTCTTTGCCAGATAGTTGGTACTGACATGTCAGAACTTCGAGCATTGCTTTTGAAAACCACATGTGAGCTAGCTATAACAGTTATTCTTGCTTTGTGACTATACACCAACCGGTGATTCCAAAGGTTTGGAAGCCTGATCACGTGTTCGGTGGTTTCGTTAGGATTATTTTTCATCTCTCTTCACAACAGAGCGAAGGTGCTCTCCACCACGTTAATTAAAAACATAAGAGACGTGGTCAATACCTAAGAAATAACCTGAATGGACTCTGACTTGAGAGTGCATGCTTCTCCTGCTTGCTTTGGACCTTAGATTCAAAAAAGTATGCTTATTGATAAAACATGTTTCTCCCAGACTTTGTTGACAACAACACACAGCTGTGCTAATGCATAACTTTATGATGCATGATGTCTTAACCTAGATCTCAAAAGAAAGTGAGACCAACTAGGCTGCTCCTTCGATCGCTGCCGCCAGAGGTAACTGAGTGCAGTCTGCATGAGTACTTCTCCAAATTTGGTATTGTCACGGACGTTCGACTTCTCAAAAAGGTTTCTTGTCTTGGTCGTGGTTTTGTCGTCTTTCGTGATTTTGAAGCTGTAACGAAGGTGGTGGAAACCCAATCGCACCAATTCCACGGGAGAAATATCACCGTTTCTTTCCTTGAGGAGCCAGGATCTACAGAAACTCGGTAAGTATGCAACTGAGTGACAAGCATACTCAGATAAAGTGCAAGATAAAGTTCATTTTGGAGTTTTATGTTTTCCGAGTTCTAGAGCTCGGGCACTCTC